TCCTCTTCCTCGTCTCCTTTCCTCCTCCTTTCCTCCTCCTCCTTCTTTCTTCTTCCTCCTTCCTCCTTCCTTCTTCTCTCTTCCTTCTCTTCTTCCTCTTTCTCCCATCCTTTCTCCCTCCTTTCTCCCTCTTCCTCCTTCTTCCTTCTTCCTTTTGCTTTTTTTCTTTTTTCTTCTTCTTGCAGGTTCTGGCTCATGCGCAGATTTTGTATCGGTAAAACAATTGGCCGATTTACCCATCATTGCTGGGAAAATAGGCCGATCGGCAAAATCGGCTGATTTCTTTTTTTTCCAACTTCACCAATAAAAAAAAATGTGCCAAACCTCCGAAAAACGGCCAACCAATTAACCCACTAACAGTGCAGAAATCAGCCAATTTTTTTTGGGGGGCCGAAATATCTGCAATTTTCGATCCTTTTTCCATATGGGTTACCACTTATACGTGGACAATGTTTATTCAAGCGTGCCACTATTTAACCATTTCAATACAGGGCACTTTTACCCCATCCTGCCCAGGCCATTTTTCAGGTTTCAGCGCTCTCACACTTTGACAATTTCACGGTCATACAACATTGTACCCAAACTAAAATTTTATCATTTTCTTCACACAACTAGAGCTTTTCTTTTGGTAGTATTTAATCACCACTGGGATTTTTATTTTTTGCTAAATTAACAAAAACGATTTTGAAAAAAAAAAAAACGCGTTTTTCTTTTTCTGTTATAAAAGTTTGCAAATAAATAATTGTTCTTCATAAATTTAGGCCGAGATGTATTCTGCTACATGTCTTTGGTGAAAATAACCCAAATTAGGATGTATTATTTAGTTTGTAGGAAAGTTATAGAGTTCACAAACTATGGTATAGATCTGAAAATTGATCAATCCTGAAGTACTGACGGCCAATCTAATTTCTTGAGGTCCAAGAATGTCAGAACAGTACAGATATCCTCCAAAGTAGACAGTCCGACATACTTCATAAGAGGCATGGCGAGTTTTTTGAAGATGTATTTTTTTTGTCATTTTTCGGAAAATAAAAAAATTATTTTCACTATTTTTTTTTTTACATACTGTCACCAGTGAAGTACAGCGTCGTCCTATAACTGGCATGGCAGTGATCAGGGACACTGACAGTATGAAAAAAAAAATATTTTTATTTTTAATTTTCTATTACTTTTTCTTTTTTTAAGATTTTTTTTTTTTTTATATTTCATTATGACCAAAGTAGTACAATATTACCATAGTAACATTGTACTACTTTGGGGAAGTGATCAGTATTATTTTTTTTTTTTTTTTTTTTTTACACAATTTGCTTATAGCAAAGAATTACTATAAGCAAGCATTTACCTGAATGACATCAATTCATTCAGGGTTTTTTTTTTTTTGTTTTTTTTTTTGGAGCCTAGCTGTGATTTGGCCACGGCTAATTACATGAAACAACTGGGCTGTGATTGGCCCAGCTTGTGCATGTAATCGCTGTGACCATTCACAGCTAGGCACACTAGTATACAATGGATGGCATGAATGAAGCCATCCATTGTATACAACTGGCATCGGGGCCAGTACTCAGATCTGTCATCGGCCGAGGTACATGACCTGTGACAGATCGCGCTGTTGCGCGGCTCTGCAGGTGCGCAAACTGCGCATGCCCGGGAGGATGCCATATGGCGTCCACCCAGAACGCTGAGGTATTTTGCCGGCCGCCAAACGGCCATTGGCCGGGCGGCAAATGGTTAAACATTTGTACAATCCTGGAACTGGCGCAGGTGGCAAAGTGTGACCTAATGTGTGCCCACCATTAGAAGTGGGTGGATGCAGGGCGGTATTTTCTAATGGTGGGCATACAACACACTTTTTCTGGCAGAGATTTCTTCTTTTTTTCATTCAGTCCACAGGCTGCATACAAAAAAAAAGAACATAGCATATATAACCAACAAGGATCAGCGACGTACTGGTACATCACTGGACTTTGGTTATACCAGGATGATGCCTACAGCTGCAGGCATCATCCTGGTATTGTTTTTTTCACCCGGCGATCAGCTTTCATGTAAAAGCAATCCTAGTGGCTAATTAGCTGCCGGATTGCTTTTACAAGCAGGGGGAGATGATGCCCCCCTCCCCCGCTGCCTTCCACGGCCTTCTCGGGCAGTCTCATGCCATCGGGGGAACCTGAGCATGCATCCGGTGTTTCTGCCAGCTGACCATAGAGCTGATTGAAGACCAGAGTGGTGCCAATCATCTCTATAGTCTAAGAATTCGGAAGCTACAAGCATTTCATCACTTCAGTTTTGCAGGATATAAACAGCGCCATTTGTAAATTGGGGAAACATCTTATCACACCGATCTTGGTTTGATTAGATAATGTAAGGGCAGAGGAGATATCCAGAGTCTGATAGACCTCAGATTTATCAAAAAAGAATATATGACAATGCCCATTGAAGTTATAGGGGATATTTGCATTCCCTGTGATAGCATTAAAAGTGATAAAAAAAAAAAGAAAGGTACAGTGTAAAAATAATAAAATAAAAAAAACTGCCCCTCCCATATACGCACACCTGTGTGCAGAAGCCTTGACCCTGTGTCGGTATGTAAACAGCGGGTGCACCATGCATGTGAGGTATTGCCGTGAACGTCAGATCAAGGGCAGTAATTCTAACACTAGACCTCCTCTGTAAATCTAAAATGGTAGCTTTTAAAGCGTCGCCTATGGATATTAAAAATGTATGCAGTTTGTCGCCGTTGCACGGGGCATGCACAGTTTTAAAGCATGTCATGTTTGGTATCTATTTACTCGGCATACCATTATCTTTTATAGTTTACCAAATAATGAACTTCTAATGCTGGGCATAAAACGCCCCCACCCCCCAAAATGACCCCTTTTTTTTTTTTTTTTTTTTAAAGTAGACACCCCAAACTATTTGCTGAATGTGTTGAATCAATAGTTTTTTGAAAAAAACATTTTTTACACAAAATTGTCACTTAAATGATTTACTGCTCACACATGCCATGGGTATATGTGGAATTACTCCCCAAAATACATTCTGCTACTTCTCCCGAGTATGGGGGTACCACATGTGAGAAGTTTTGGCAGTGTAGCCAAGTACAGAACCCCAAAATGCAATAAGCACCTCCAGGCTTTTAAAGGGCTTTATTTCCTCATTACACTTCCAGACTACCTATCACAGTTTTGGAGGCCCTGAAATGCCAGGATAGCACCTAACCCCCCCCCCCCCAAATTTCCCCTTTTTTGGAAAGTAGACACCTCAAGGAATTTGATAAGAAGCATGGTAAGTATTTTGCAGATCTCATTTGTATCTACAAGTTTTTGGAAAATGAAAAAAAAACCAAAAAACATATTTTTTCTATATTTTTTTTTATATTTCAAAACCTTGTGAGAAAAAATGAGATCTGAAAAATACTCACCATGCCTATTTTTAAATTCCTTGGGGTGTCTACTTTCCAGAAAGGGGTTATTTGGGGGGGGGGGGGGGGGGGTTGGTGCTATCCTGGCATGTCAGGGCCTTCGAAACTGATCGGTAGTGAGGAAGTGTAATGAGGAAGTTACGCACCTTCAGGCTTTCAAAGTGGTCTTTGGATTTCAGGCTCCTGTATGTGGCTAGGCTCCCAAAAAGTCACAGGTGGTATCCCCATACTCGGTAGAAGTAGCAGAATGTATTTTGGGGTGTAATTCCACATATACCCATGGCTTGTGCGAGAAATAAAATCATTTAAATGACAACTTTGTGTAAAAAAAAAAAAAAAAAAAAAAAAAAGTTTTTTTTAATTTTCCAGAAACTTGTGGGAAAAAAATAAATCTTACATGGACTCAATATGCCACTCAGCAGATAGTTTAGGGTGTCTACTTTCCGAAAAGGGGTCATTTGCGGGTGTTTGTACTATCCTGGTATTTTAGCACCTCAAGAAATGTGATGGGCAGTCAGAAAGTAAAAGCTGTGTAAATTCCATTATCTATACCATAGTTTGTAGACACTATAACTTTCATACAAAGCAATAAATGTACACTTACTGGGATTTTTTTAACCAAAAACATGTAGCAGAATACATTTTGGCCTAAATTTATGACGAAATTTTAGGTTTTTTTGGATATTTTTTATGACTGAAATGAGAAATTGTTTTCAAAAAATTTTTTTTTCTTCAAAAATGTTTTTTTGGTTATAGCGCCACCTCCAAAAGTAAGCTCTATTTGTGTGAAAAACCCCTAAATTTCATTTATGTACCGTATTGCCTGACTGTGCAATTGTCCGGAAACAATGCGCAAACTAGCGCAGAGCTGTATATCAAAAAATGGCGTAAATTGCAGTATCTATACCATAGTTTGTAGATGCTATAATGTTCACACAAAGCAATCAATATACACTTATTGGGATTTTTTTTTTACCAAAAACATGTAGCAGAATATATTTTGGCCTAAATTTATAACTAACTAACTTTGAGTTTACTATATATATTTTTTTATAGCTAAAAGTAAAAAATAGCGTTTTTCTTCAAAAATTTTGGTCTTTTTTGTTTATAGCGTGAAAAATAAAAAGCGCACAGGTGATCAAATTACCACCGATAGAAAGCTCTGTTTGTGTGAAAATTTTTGTTTGGGTGCAGCATTGCATGACCGTACAATTATCAGTTGAGCAGCGCCGAGTAGCAAAAAGAGGCCTGGTCAGGAAGGGGGGTAAATCCTCAGGAGGGCAAGTAGTTAAGTTGCAATTACTGAAATAATGAACTTTTGCACGATATTTTAATTCTTCGAGTTTCATGTGTGTGTATACACCGCGTTCCAAATTATTATGCAAATTCTATTTAAGTGTCACAAAGATGAAATATTTTGTTTTTTTTTTTAACTCGGATGGCATTGTGTCAGGGGCTTTTTTATCACTGAAAATAATCTCGGACACCTGTGATAATTAGATTGGCCGGTGAGCCCAATTTAAGGAAAAACTACTAAAGGAGGGTGTTCCACATTATTAAACAGAGCACCATTTTCAGCAATATGGGGAAGAAAAAGGATCTCTCTGCTGCCGAAAAGAGTGAAATAGTTCAATGCCTTGGTACGAGGTATGAAACCATTAGGTATTTCACGAAAACTTAAGCGTGATTATCGCACTATTAAGAGTGAATCAGAGCACAGATGGGTTCGTGCAGATATAGGCACATTGAGAAAGATTTCTGCCAGAAATCAAGAGAGCAGCTGCTAAAATACCATTACATAGCAGCAAACAGATATTTGAAGCTGCTGGTGCCTCTGGAGTCCCACTTCAAGGTGTAGAGTCTTCCAGAGTCTTGCAACTGTGCATAAACCTTTGGCCACCAATAAACAATGCTCACAAGCAGACAAGGCTGCATTGGGCAGAAAAATACATGAAGACTAATTTTCAAACCAATGCAGTGCAACCCTGGATGGTCCAGATGGAAAGAGTAGTGGATGGTTGGTGGGAAAAGCGGCCACCCATGTTCCAGGCTGTGATGTCAGCAAAAAGTCATGTTTTGGGCTGGAATCATTGGAACAGAGCTGGGCCTGTCCCGAATGTAAAGATGACCCTCTCAACCCTGTATGTAGGGGTTTATGACTAACCATTTTCTTTCCTGTACAACTATGCTTTCCATAATAAATCATCGTCAATGCACCATCTCATGCTGCAAAGAATACCTGTGCATCAATGGCTTTAATGGGGATAAAGGAGAGAGAGTCATGGTGTGGGCCTCACCATCCTATTCCAGAACCTTTGGAGCATCCTCAAGCAAAAGATCTATTTGGGACTTAAAAGGCAATCTTTTATTTACATCCAAATTAAGCAGCTCTGGGAAGCTATGTCACCTACAACACCTAGCAAACATATTCAAGCATTAAAACTGAAATGTAGTATTTCCAAAAACCTCACAGACCTGTACCTTCTTTTTAAGGCTCCCCTGTTCCTAACGTGACTCATAAAACCTGAAATGGCACCTGTTAAAAAAATTATCAGTTTAAAGACAATATTTCACAATTTGATTTCAGTCAAATATGCTGCACTATCACACAACAAATGCCAATTTTGTCGAAGTTCTGTCCACAACCTCAAACTGGTGTAATATGTGAATTGCAACAGTGCATTGTAAGTTTTTTGTTTAAAACAAAAATCCAAGGAGGTCTGTTTGATTTTGTTCAATAACAGTTTTATTGCTCTTAATAGTTGTGAGAATTATGACTGTTATTTACATCAAAAGTAGCTGTGAGAAAAATATCATTTGCATAATAATTTGGAACACAGTGTATGTGTGTGTGTGTCTATCTATCTATATATATATAATATATATATATAATATATATATATGTGTGTATAATAGATATATGTGTTACCTGATATACAGTGGGGCAATAAAGTATTTAGTCAGGAATTGTGCAAGTTCTCCAACTTAAAAAGGTGAGAGAGGCCTGTAATTGGCATCATAGGTAGACCTCAACTATGAGAGACAAAATGAGAAAAAATCCAGGACAATCACATTGGCTGATTTGGAAAGAATTTATTTGCAAATTATGGTGGAAAATAAGTATTTTGGTCACCTAAAACAAGCAAGATTTCTGGCTCTCACAGAAACCTTCTTCTTTAAGAGGCTCCCCTGTCCTGCACTCATTACCTGTATCAATGGCACCTGTTTGAACTTATCAGATAAAAAAACCTGTCCACAACCTCAAACAGTCACACTCCAAACTCCACTATGGTGAAGACTAAAGAGCTGTCGAAGGACACCAGAAACAAAATTGTAGACCTGCACCAGGCTGGGAAGACTGAATCTGCAATAGGCAAAGCGTGGTGTGAACAAATCAACTGTGGGAGCAATAATTAGAAAATGGAAGATGTACAAGACCACTGATAATCTCCTCAATCTGGGGCTCCACGCAAGATCTCACACCCCGTGGGGTCAAAATGATCACAAGAATGGTGAGCAAAAATCCCAGGACCACACGGGGGACCTAGTGAATGACCTGCAGAGAGCTGGGACCAACGTAACAAAGGCTACCATCAGTAACACACTACGCCACCAGGGACTCAGATCCTGCAGTGCCAGACGTGTCCCCTGCTTAAGCCAGTACATGTCCGGGCCCGTCTGAAGTTTGCTAGAGAGCATTTGGATGATCCAGAAGAGGATTGGGAGAATGTCATTTGGTCAGATGAAACCAAAATAGAACTGTTTGGTAGAAACACAACTCGTCGTGTTTGGAGGAGAGAGAATGCTGAGTTGCATCCAAAGAACACCATACCTACTGTGAGGCATGGGGGTGGCAACATCATGCTTTGGGGCTGTTTCTCCACAAAGGGACCAGGACAACTGATCCATGTACAGGACAGAATGAATGGGGCCATGTATCGTGAGATTGAGTGCAAACCTCCCATCAGCAAGGGCCTTGAAGATGAAACGTGGCTGGGTCTTCCAACATGACAATGATCCCAAACATACCGCCTGAGTGGCTTCGCAAGAAGCATTTCAAGGTCCTGGAGTGGCTTCGCCAGTCTCCAGATCTCAACCCCATAGAAACCTTTGGAGGGAGTTGAAAGTCCGTGTTGCCCAGCGACAGCCCCAAAACATCACTGCTCTAGAGGAGATCTGCATGGAGGAATGGGCCAACATACCAGCAACAGTGTTTGCCAACCTTGTGAAGACTTACAGGAAACGTTTGACCTCTGTCATTGCCAACAAAGGATATATAACAAAGTATTGAGATGAACTTTTGATATTGACCAAATACTTATTTTCCAAAATTTGCAAATAAATTCTTTCCAAATCAGCCAATGTGATTGTCTGGATTTTTTTTCTCATTTTGTCTCTCATAGTTGAGGTCTACCTATGATGCCAATTACAGGCCTCTCTCATCTTTTTAAGTGGGAGAACTTGCACAATTTGGCTGACTAAATACTTTTTTGCCCCACTGTATACTAATGCAAATACTCATATAAATAGTAAGACCAGCAATAATCAACTTCAATTGTATAATTTAGTCAAACTAAGACACAAAGGCTAATAGTCAAAGAGCAAAAACAGCACAAAACCCCATAACCCAAAATAAGATCAGTATACAATGCAGAAAATGGACTAAGGCAGGCCATAGACGGAGCAAATTTCTTTCCTGCCACCACGGACTGCAAGACAGAAATTTGCTCACATAGAAGGAATAGGTGCTGCAACCCTCATAGCATATTTTCCATAAGGAGTGTATATATCACTGTGCGATTCCTGCGGTTTCCATCCGCTGCACCAGTAAATCAAATCATATTGGATCGGCAACAAGATGAAAATGAATTGTAAAAAGTTATATTCAGATGCGGAGTAAAAATAGTTCCAGAATGCAAGCAACACTAACGTGTTTCAGTCAAACAAGACCTTACTCATAGTATGTCACTTGTAGTGTAGCACACCATTATATAGTGGTCTATCACTCTCTTAAGAGCCAATTATGAGGGATGGCTATCAGCTAATGCATCTAATACAAAAGGATGAGTGATCACCACTACCTAATGCATGTGTTCAATAAAAGCAGACTGCAAATCTAACACCATATAAGAAAAATATAATCAAAGCAAAACCATATAAAAATCAACAATCATGATTGTAAATGTATCACTCAATATACACCATAAATTTTCATGAAAAATTAAGATGTGGCAAAATATGAGATGATACTACGGGGAATAACTTAGGTGCATATCTATATTCTATCTGAGGTTTAACCCATGAGGTGATCTGGTTTGTAACTTATGTATCCATCATGCCTCTTTTTGTAATAATATACAATGCTTGTTCCCACCTCGAGGGGAGGGTAGTAACTTTATCAATGCCACAACATCTAAAAGTAGTGTATCCAGCATTAAAATCTCTAGAGTGCCTAGAAACACTAGAAATCTGGTTTGCTTGAAAATTACTTGAAACACAAAAGTGTTCTCCAATACTTTTTCTCAAGGGACATAATGTACAGCCAACATATTGCAAATGACAACGCGTACAGTAAATGATATACTACAGAAGTGGCATTACAATTTATGTAGTGTAAGATTTTAAAACTCTCTCCTGTGGATAAAGGGTCAAAGGTTTTTGTGCTCAGGTTTAAACGGCAATATTTGCATGTTTTGTATCCACAAGCATAAGAGACTGTGCATGACAATCAGGTAGATGTATCCTTGGAAGAAAACAGACTAGGTGACAGTAATGTACCCAGTGTAGGTGTTCGTCGGCAAGAAAATCTGCAACCTTGTTTTAACAGTGGGAATAAATCTGTGTCTACACATAAGATCGGAAGATTCTTTTTAACCTCCCTAGCAGTCTGATTATGTTAGTATTTCTGTGCTCAAAGTGGTAAATTTTTTTGCATGGAAATATGTTTTTTTTTTATTGTAGGCCTGTAATTCTTAGGAATAACTCACTGAAATCTGTCCAAACAAGAGTCTAGTAAACATCCCGGGTATGATAGTTTGAAACACAAAATCTTAAATTATAATAAATTTAATTCAATAATGTAATCAAACCCAAAACACTGAAATTTGAAATAGAGCCCAAGTTCGCACATCACTGAGCTAAATTGCAAAATCGTATTCAAACTAAAACTGAATGTCACGCTCCTATTTTAAACGCAATATTGTATACAGCGTTAATAAAAAATATAAATTAAACTGAATCATAAACCCAAATCAAACACAAAAAATATTTTAAAATACTGATGTGATCAAAATAATCCAATGCATAACATATAACAAAAGTCTCTCTCTGTTTAATGATGGTGACAACTTCCAGTGGTTCAAGTGAAATAAAAATATATATATATATATATATATATATATATATATATATGTGACTTCCTTAATGTGATTTAGATGTATGCTGAACAATGTCTGGAACGACCCATTTTCCTCAGAATTTCAGAGAGAAATTCACTGTAACCAGCATGTACAACATTTGCTGCCGTCCTTCCTTAAATAAGGGCAATAATTGCCACCTGTTTTTCAAAGAATGAATGACCTCACTAATAGAACTCCACACTGCTATTATTTTGAACATGCCCCTTTCAATTAGTGATTCAATTACACAGAATCAGCAGCATGCATGTCATGACTGTTGGATTTCTATTACTCTACTACACCTGCTAGTAAATTATTGGCCATCTAGAAATATAATTTCTACCAAAAACAGTGATTGATCAGGTTACTGATGTCTGACTGCTATTATTTTGAACACAACTGTACTTTACTGCCACTTCTTCTGAGATCCCTTAGGCATGTCTTCCTGCCCATTTGCTACAAAGAATTTGCCACAGGACAGTCTGCACCTGGGTTGCTGTGTACATTCTCGCACACGCTTACTCTTTCTGCACTCTTTTGTGAGAACCCCACAGCGGAATATCCTCATTTGTAGCAATGACAGAAACAGGTGAAAGTGGAGTCGCAACACAAGCTCAGGTGAACATTTGCTCTGCTGTAGGCCTGCACAACATTCACTCTCATAG